TATGTATTATTTATATTAATTTATTTATATTGATTAAAGTAAAATTATTTATATAATAGATATTTTTTTTAAAAAAATCAAAAAAAATAGGATTACAATTTCATCATAATTGTGCAACTAGTTTTCATTGTATTCCTTGTAAAAACAAATTTAAATGTAATAAAATATTATCACTAAAAGATAAAAAAGAACGAGAGCTTGAATATCAGATGACTGAAGTTCTAAAATATTCTTTTTATCTAACACAACATTGGTGTTATAAAGAAAAAAAATACACAAATTGTTATAAATTAAATAAATATAATCAAATAAAATATAATTATTGTATAACAAATGAAAAGACTGTAACATTCTTTATCTACAGAACAAACAGCATTTAATGAAATTAATGAAAATGTATTATACATTTGTGATCAATTTGAAGTTACTAGTTCTAGTAAACTTTATACTCAAATATATATATAGTTTAATAAACGTCAAACTATAAAATCTATAAAAACTATTCTAAATGATAATTCTGTATTATTTATAAAATTTTTTGCAGGTAATTCTGAACAGAATAAAAATTACACTATGAAAACCTATAATCGCTATAAAGTATATTCTAAATGTTAATATGATTATTTTGATTTATCAAAAATATGTGAATATTGTAATAAATTGTATATTCATTTATATGCAAGGTAGGTGATAGATATTTATCATCTGATATAATTGGTCTATTTGAATTTAGAACTTATCGATTCTTAGAAGGTTCTAATAATAATAATACATCAGAAGATATAAATGAATTATGATTGGATGATATGAAACATATAATCAAAATTCAAGATCAAGAATTTATATATAAACAAGTAATATCTGATAAAAATAAAATACCAGCTACTTGGTTTATAACACCAACCAATGCAGAAAAAGTTATTAATGATAAACAAAAATTTCTAAAAAAATAAAAGAAAAAAAGATTTTGGCATTTACTTACATTTTATTGTTATAGATCTGGTGGTGCAAAAAAAACTGGATAGTTTTTAGAATTATTTCATGATAAACTTTATGATAAACCAAAGAAACAACGAACAAATAGTTCTTATTAGAATAGGTATAATGAACAAGAAATAGTTTTAATTGATAAATTTTATATGAAAATCAATTAAAATAAAATGATAAATTTATTAAATGATTCATGTTTTGAAGTTGAATATAAATATAGTAGTTTTGAACCTTTTTTAGCCAAATATATTTGTTTAACAGCAACAAAGCTATCTAAAAAAGCTTATAATTTGGGTCAATATGGAGGAGATGACAATAATAAGAAAGATTATAACCAATATGAACAAAAATTAGATTATATAATCAGATTTGATAGAAAATGAAATGATGATTAAGAAAAAAGAACTACACAAATCATATTTGAAAAAAAAGATAAGGATAAATTTAGAAATATATTATAGGATGTTAAATATCATAATGGAGAAAATTCTATTGAAAAAATTATAGAAAAATCTAAAAAAAATTAATATAGAAATCAAGGGAGAAGAAATTATTATTGGTGATAATATTTATTGGTGTAAAAAATTTTCAGATCACAAGATTAAATATTTAAATAATTATCCAAATGTGAACCAATTATTTATATATAGAGATAAAAAAAAAATAGCTAATATTTTAGAAGAATCTTCTAAAAAAAATAGAATTGATTTTTTATTTAAACATTAAATTTTTTTTTATTTTATTTAAATATTAAATGATTTAATTTTTATACAACAAACTAGTAAAGAAACATATCTATATTCACAAACTTTTAAAGAAAAAATGTCTAATATTACTTTACATGAAGAATTATATAATGCATAATAGGATTTGAGAGAAGAAAGAAGAATTTGTCAAAATTAACAAAAAGAAATTTAACGATTAAACAAGCAAATTAATGAAATTAAAGAAGTTTATATTGAATCTATTAAATGTCTTGAAAGAATTATTGAAGAAAAGAATATTATTATTCAAGATACTGTTAACCAATATGAAAAATTGTTAAAATACTGTTAGACAGTATGAAGAAAGATTAAATTTTTATACAAATTTTTTGGTCAAAGTTTTAATTATGCAAATAAATTTTATTATATGAATTTTCATCTATATGATGAAGTGATCAATAAATTTATAAATGATGAATCATTTATTTTTCAAACTAATATTCTTAATATTATTAGTGATATTAATAATTCTGTTAATAATGATAGTAATAGATTTAGTGAATATAATTCTAATAATAGTGATTATAATAGTTATGATGAATATAAAGAAATAATGCAAGATATATTCGAAGTTACTAGTAAAGATAGTTTTTAATTTAAAGATTTATTTTATTATTTATATTATTTTTTTATTATAAATAAATTATTACATTGTTACGAAGATTAAAAAAGTATTTATATTTTTCGGTAATTTCATATATTAAATTCTATCGCTTGTTGTTTTAAAAAATTTTGATATCAAGATTTAATAAACTCGGATTTTTGCAAAACAAACTTAACGATAATAGATCAAGATTTAATAAACTCAGATTCTTGCAAAACAAACTTAATGTTGATAAGTCAAAATTCAATAAACTCAGATTTTTGCAAAACAAACTCAACATTGATAGGTCAAAATTCAATAAACTCAGATTTTTGCAAAACAAACTCAACATTGATAGGTCAAGATTCAATAAACTCAGATTTTTGCAAA